TTTGACACATCGGTTAGAGTGATGTGAGATGTTATTTTTAGCCGTTAAATATCTATGTGGCACTTTTGACACATCGGTTGGAGATGCTCTTAAGGGAGATGTCAAATACCAAACATCAAATTTAAATTTGATGGTTGATGTGGCAATTTGACATCTTATATAGCTTTACACTCCACCTGATATGTCAAATTAAATTATTATTTTATTACATTTTAGTGTTGATTTATTTTTAATTAAAAAGAAAAGAAAAGAAATCATAATAAAATATTCATTTGACATCTTGCTTGTGGGATGTCAAAAATAACATCTCAATCTCCGGCCTTCATTCCACATCAACTTTGACACATCGGTTGGAGTGATGTTAGATGTTATTTCTAGCCGTTAAATGTCTATGCGGTACTTTTGACATTTCGATTGGAGATGCTCTTAGAACATTCCCAGAAGGACCCCTTGGCAAATTACAACTGATAAGTTCGGCCACTATGTAATATTTTTAAATCTCCTCTAGAGTTATGAGATGCAACCAAACGGGCAGCCAGCTATATCACACGCGTGAGACACACATGAAATTCATAAGACAAAGCATCAATTTGACTCGCAATTACACAAATATATCATGAACAATGTCATCCAAATTTGTTCTCACTTGAGACACAAGCCCCTTGCAAATCCGCAATTAAAACCTTTCACATCACATTCAAGCACCGCGAGATGTCCACCCCGGCTAAAGAAAGCATACAAGAAGTGCTTCGACCTCCACCGTCTCACTTGAGGAACATTGAAACTTTCCCGAACCACCAAACTTTGTTGCCCTGCTACTAAAGTGGTCGTGGCCTCTCCTAACTCCATTATTTCATGTAAAACTTATATTAAACTTCTGGAATTGCTGAGAATATTGAAAGATATCTACACAGATTGGCTCCCCCGAAGTAAAAAATCTGTATTGTTGGCCCCCTAAAACATAGAACTTAGCTCCGCCATCGCTAGGACATTGCCGTTAGGAAAGAACGGGCTTTGCACCATGGTAGGCTCTCGTCTTGAAGATGACAAGCGAATGAAAAATGATGATTACAATTCTTGTATTTACAAATTTTTTTCACCTAGACACATGCATGTCTCACAAATCTAGTACACTGTTACGACAAATGGGGCAAGTTAGGCTCTTCTTCAACCAAGTGTTCATGCATTTGGAATGAAAAGTATGGTTGCACGAGGGAAAAACTTGGCACAATTGGTCAGTCTCAAAGTCCTCCATGCAAATAACACAATCCTTGCAATTCATTTCAATTTCATGGCTTCCAAAAGCTATGGGAGGCGGCAGTTTGTTCTCCAACAGTTGTTCCCTTTCCCGCTGATGCCTTTGGTCTCTTCTTTCCTCCAACGCCTCAACAATTGAGTCCAAGATTTCCAAAACCCTAAGATTATGAAGGACAGCTGCCTGATAAAATGTAGCTTGGTCATGCCATTCTTCGCCGTTTGGCTGAAATGACAACCTTCTGTGCCCTGCCTCGGGATCCCGATTTCTTCTCTCGTACAACGGCGTCCAAACAAACTCGCAGACGACGTAAAAGAGGGCAATGACGAGCAGGGAAAGCATGATTGAGAATGCTAAGATGCAGACATAAACAAAAATTATGGTACCAATGAAAGACAGAAGGGAAAAAACAGGAGGTGGGATGACAATCTTAAGGGCTTGAGACATGTTCATGATGACGAAGAATGTTGATGACGATGAAGATCAGCAAAGGCTTTGGGGACTCGGATGGATGCTTTGATTGGTATTTGTCTAAGAAGTTGTTGCTAAACCGCAAAACTGCTAAACCCATATTTCAGATTTTGGTTTGAACAAACTTTTTAAGGTGGTCTAGAGAAAGTACATGCGATTGATTAATATCTAGACCTCAGAATCTGTTTGTGCCCCCCCTCCTCTTCTGAAAAACGCGTTTTGGTAGCTTGACTTTAGAAATAAACTTTTTTGTTTATTTTTATTTTTGGTCGAAAAAGTTCGGTTTTTTTTAATTACAACCCAAACTACGCTGCCTAAAATTTATTTTTTTTGGAAAAAATGCTTCTGTATTTTTTATTTAAAGAATGGACTCAGGGGCCTCAGATCTCTCTATGACCACATACACACCTCAGACGTTCTGGACATCAAACTTTCAACCCCGATACCCAAAACCTCATGCCTCATGAGTCATGCCGCCAAGATCCAAAACCTTCTAGGAGCTGCAATTTGTGTCAACATGTCAGTTTCGTGTCATGCAATTTTACGCTTAACTAATCGTGTTAAGTTAATTAATAACTTAAAACTAAATAAACTCATTTATAATCTTGTTGTATTTGGGTTGACCTATCGATATTGTGAACTCAAAATTTTGAACTAAGTATCCTTGATTTGTTTCTAAGCCAAACCTAAAGAAGAAAAAAACCATCGCTTGTTTCTAAGCTTCCTTTTCTTTACGAGAGCAAGATAAAGCCCGCATGCAACTTTGCCTAGTTGGCCTTGACCTCTGCTTTGTGTAGTTTCTTTAAGGCATTTTGTCGAACATCTTGCTACTTGGCAGCATGCTCAAGGAATCAAAGGAATGTTGCGCAATTTCATATGCAGTAAAAATGACAAGTGGGGGTGGAGAACATCAAAGGAACGTTGGAAAATTTCATATGTAGTAACAATGACAAGAGGGGATAATTGCATTCACTGGCCTTGTTTGTATCCACTAGTGCTTGATCCTAATAATAACAAAATTATTTTAAAAAAATGAAAAAAGTAAACTCATTTTCTCCAAAATAAGTTTATTGTGTTAAAGTCAAGTTACTCGTGTTCGAAACTAACTTGACATGGTGACGAGTCATACCATAAGTAATGTATAATCTAAAAGGCTAATTTCGTGTCAGATTCGAGTCGTGATATCGTGTCGTGTAAAAAATTATCATGAGAATCAAAACCTCGAATCCCAAGTACCTAGCTAGCGTTTTATACCTCGGAGATCCTATCTTGAACCCCGGGCCTAAGCCTGAGGACTTGACCTAAGATCCCGAGCAATGAACCCTAGGCCATGAGCTAGCCCCAACCTCTAGCTATACGTATGAGCCTTTCCTACATCTCATATTCTGTGTCCAAGAAATTATAATGTATAAGGGCTATACTTATCAAAAGGATTATAATTTAATTTGGAGGCCTTTTATATATAAACCCAATTTGAATCCATAATACGATACAATAGGTAATTGACAAGAAAATGTTGACAAATTCTATTTATTACCCAAAATTAGGGTAATTGCATGGCTTAAAGTGTTTGCAAACTATTGATATGCCTATAGAAAAGAATGTTGATATTTACAGTTGTTTGAACAGATCCAGAATACACACCTCAAGAAAAAAAAAACAAAAAAAAAAAAAAAAAAAAGAACCAAAAGGGCTCATAACTGTCATACATCCATGATACAATGTCGACAAACTGGGCAATTTGGCTTGTTCATCAACCAATGGTCAATGCAATTGGCATGGAACATGTGGTTGCATATTGAAAAAACTTGGCATGAATCACCTTGAGCCAAATCCTCCAAGCAAATTGCACATGAAGTGCATTTTGAACTTGATTGTATTTCATGGCTTCCATAATTGACTAGTGGTGGCAATTTCTTCAAGGCCCTAAGCCTTGGCCCTCTTCCTTCATCAAACTCCGGCATGACCCTCTTTATCACCCCCAGCCTCTGCATGTTTTGCACTATAGCTACACGAAAGGGGCTCGAACCGACGATGTGAATTTGTGGTCCATAAACGACGTCACCTCCCTCGAGATCATGCTCCGGGATGACTTGAAGGAGCCATGCAAGGAAAACGTAGAGAATGTGATTAAAGATCAGAAATAACAAGGTGACTATTGAGATGCATGCAATGATGTTGGCTGGGAGATCTGAAAATAGAGCGGGGCTAGGAGGGGAATCAAAGCCTTCAGAAAACATGTTGTATATGAGGATGAAAGGTTGTGAGAACGAAGTTTGATTTTCCATTGAGTCTGACTTAATTGGTTTCTGATTTCTGGATCGAACGAAATGATCAAGTTCGAAACTCTGTCTTTGGGTGTAGAGATAAATGGTTTCTGCGACTGAAGCTAGACTGTGGCTAAACACATTGCATTTTTAAAATTTATGGCAGGAATATATATGGTGTTGCAAAAAAGGTTGCACCTTCATTTGTTTTGGATCCTAATTTTAGAAATGAACTTGTAAGGAGCTGGCAGATAATTTGGTAACAAAAACTTGGTATTTTTAGAGGAATTGAAGTTAGGTAACTACTTAGAGTCACTTTACGGAACATTCTTTACATGCAACAAACGGCGCTCATCGTCTTTCGTAATAACTACTTACATTGTTGGAAGTTGATGTTAGAGAGATGTTGTGTGTGGTTGTGTCATGTGGAAGAAGCTTTTTTGTTGAAGTAGTTAAATTAGGTAGGTGATTACTTGAAGTTTACAACGCATCCTCCTCACAAGGGGGTGAAGCAAAGGTTATAACAAATTATAATTATGGTTGTGCATGAACAAGGTTATAAAATTTCTAACTTCTCTTCTTGTCTTTTTTTTTCCTTGCTTGCCTTCACACCCTCCATAAAATCACTTAAAACCACTTAAAGTAATTAGAAATCTAATTTTTAAGGCCATAACATAACCCATAATTGTTTCCTCGTGATTGTTTCAGGCCACGAATCTTTTTAAGATTATGCTCTTGTTCTTGACTCTCATGTTGAGTTTCGGATAATTTCATCCTATCCGCGGTATACTCTTATGGTATTTTAATAAAGGCATCTTTTTCCAACAAAAAAAATAGTCATGAAATATAAATATAAATATTATACAAGTGGTTTTCTTTCTACACAAATATATAAAGGACAATTGCCATTTGGTCTAATGCAAGTACAAATTATTTTCTTTAATTAATACAAATATAATACATATTTAAATATTTAAATAAGCTTCTCCTAATTAAACGACATATAGTTTCGGAAAGTATAAACACTCAGAATCCCAATTTCTGTGCCGTCGTTTTCCCTCTCTCTTCTGTAAACATGGAGGAGCCTGCAACACAAGGCTTTCTCTACGAAACCCTACCGGCGCTCTCTCATCCCACCCCCAATCAATCTCCGCTGCCCGATGACCTCGAACCCTACTCCGTTTTCCGCAACGAGGTTACTCTCTCCACTCCCCAATGCGCTCCGGTGGACACCGCCGCACCCGATTTCTTCTCACTCGACGTTGGTGCCGACGAAGCCGAGCCAAATTGGGCCTCACTGTCTCGTACCCTTGCAGCCGAGCCGACGACGCCGCTTCACCAATACGAGCCGACGACGCCGGTTCTTGAAGTCGAGCCAAAGCTCGAGAGCGGGTGGTTTAGGGGCCATAGTAAATTCAAGAGCCCTATGCTTCAGCTTCATAAAGGTATTTGCCGCAGTTTCAACTGCTTATATTGGGTTGCCAAGTAATTCTATTGAAAGTTTGAACTGGGTTTGGTTTATATGTACACTATGAAATCTTTTTTGGACTTTCCAATGTTTAATGGCAATGTCTAAATGTTTTATTTGATTTTTAGTTATACTGGGAAGAAATTTCATACATTGTAACCTGTAATGTGAATTGGACCTGGTTTTTGCGTATTCCTTTTACTTGTGTAGAAATTAAGGATCTTTGTAAGGGAGAAAATTGTTAATTTGTAATGTGGTAACTGAGTAACTTGTGTATTCATAATGATCACAGAAATTGTGGACTTTTGTGAGTTTCTCTCTCCAACTCCAGAAGAACAAGAGGCACGCACTTCAGCAGTAGAACGTGTCTCTCAGGTTATCAAATATATATGGCCTCGGTGCAAGGTACCTTTTTTTTGTTGTTCGTGTGGGCGTGAATGCATGTGTGTGTGATTTTAATCACGAAAAAAATTCTCATAATAAGATCCTGTTGTTCTATGATTGTTGCTTTCTAGGTTGAAGTTTTTGGGTCCTTCAAGACGGGTTTATATCTTCCTGCTAGTGATATTGATGTAAGTATGTTGATCGTATTGTTAATATAAAGTTAGGAACTGAAGTTTGAATTTGAAATTTTGTTACTCTGGTCTATGAGCATGCTTAAGTGTCCATATAAGTTACTCTGGTTGATTGCTATTACTCGTAGGTTGTCATTATGAGGTCAGGCATACCAACACCGCAGCAAGGATTGCAGGCCCTTTCTAGGGCATTGTCACAGATGGGATTGGCAAAAAAGATACAGGTGTGCCTCATCCTTTACTTGAAATACTATTGTGGAAAAACTTTAGCCTCTTATTTTTTGTTCTCTATGGATTTCTCAGGTGATTGGAAAGGCACGTATTCCTATTATTAAGTTTGTAGAAAAAACAAGTGGCATTGCCTTTGACATAAGGTTTACTTTTGTATCTTTTGCAACAGAGTTTCGAATTAATAAAGCTAAAATATATTGATAAGCATTTCCTGGGATATGTTCAATATAATTAAAAAGTACAATTGATAATTTTATTTCTTGCTTCACAGTTTTGATATAGAAAGCGGACCAAAAGCTGCTGACTTTATCCAGGTTTGTCCCATAATCTATCATCTACTAAGTTTCTGTAGAGATATTATAACTTTTCTAATATAGGTCAGAGCCTGACCATGTGCCTCTGAACAATGTTAGCATTGTTGTTTGCAACTTTGTGCTCTTCCTTGCATCGGTCATGGTTTAATATGGCTTCAGATTTAATTGCGATATCTTAAACAATAGTTATATGAATGTTGATATTGAAAGAAGTAACAAAGGGGGTGAAAAGCAGTAGTAGTTGGTAACTTGGTAAGCTGTGGAATCAAAAAGTATATATTAATTTTCTAAGTTAAACATTACAAATCTTAGAGAATGTTGAACTAATATCCCATGTTTGTAATGGTAGTGGTAAGGGAGCAAAGGTAGTGCTTCCACCTAGTAAAAATAATTCCCAATTATCATAGACACTTCAAGGAAAAATAAAATAAAAACATGCAAGGATTCAGTTAGAATGTTATAGATTGCATGTAAAGTGAGGGAATAACTATTTTCAGTCTCTTTTGACGCTATCCATTAATCCCTTTTCAGGACGCGGTATCTAAGTGGCCTCCTTTGCGACCATTATGTTTAATCTTGAAAGTATTTTTACAACAGAGAGAATTAAATGAGGTATGACTTTCTAATTTAATAGATTCACTTGTCTTTCTTTTTCTTTATGGAATTTATTTTTCCAGTCAGCCTAATCCATATTCTGATAACATATGTAGGTGTACTCTGGTGGACTAGGTTCTTACGCCCTCCTTACGATGCTCATGGCAATGTTGCATGTGAGTGAATCTTAAATATGCATTTGAAGATTTGGTGCACTTCTTGCTTGCCTATGTACATACCTGTACTGTATGGCTCCTGTTTGGTTGTGTAAAACTTGCTTTTACGTTGAATATTGCAGTGGGACATGATAAACCTATGAGTGCAAATGAGATCCAAGGACAAGTTCCTAAAATTGGAATGAAATAGATAATTTACCACACACAATTTATTCTGTCATTTGGATGATAGATAAACAATTATCAATTTCTGTAATATTAAAATTCAGATAAATAGACCAACATCCTCATTATTGGATCCTTTATCCCTGATCTATATATTGAATTTTATGCAACAGAGCCACAGAGAATGTCAAGTTTCTTCAGAACAAAACTTGGGAGTTCTTTTGGTAAGTTTTTTTAGATCAAGTAGATGAGAACTTGGAAGCTCTTTATTATTGCTTGAAGTTCTTTCATTGTATCCCAAGTCAGTTAGCTTAAACTTTATCCCAGCAACCAGGTTTGGTTGTAAATGTAGGAATGGAGACTGTAACCCTGAATTATGTGGACTATGGAATTCACTCTAGTGTTCTAGTTTTTAACTTCTTATGAGAGGCTAGGATTTTTCCAAAGAATATGGAGAAAATTCAATGAGCTTGTGGCTTACGTTCTCATTTATCTGTTGTGTTTCTCAAATAGGTAAACTTCTTTGATTTTTATGGACGCAAATTGAATACTTCAGATGTTGGTGTATCGTGCAAAGGGGCAGGGACCTTTTTTAAAAAGAGTGTCAAAGGGTATAAATAACCTTCGTAATAAAGTGATGAGTTTCTTTATCTTGATTCTTCTCTTCTTTTTTTTCACCTGGTTTTTGGACTTTTGCATTGGATTTATCCTCTCTCTCAGGTTCATAACCAAAGGACGACCGTTTCTTATTGCCATCGAGGATCCCCAGGCACCAGAGAATGACGTTGGGAAGAACTCATTTAACTATTTTCAGGTTTGTTGAATAACATGCTTATATTTTTTCTCCTCCTTCGCTTTTGATGCCAAGTAACTGGATTTGCATTGACTACAGTTTAATGGTTGTGCGTGTATATGCTTGTGTGAGCTTTATTCATATTACCACAAATTGATATACTGAAATTACAAGCTGACACTTCATCTTCCATGAAATGGCTGTTTCTATCTGGCTTGGTTGATGACCAGCTGGCTTAGGCAATGTTCTTCAGTGGTACCTGTCAAACAGATCATGCATGTTTGTATGCATGTGCTTGCACGGTTAAAAAATTTATTCGCATATGTTGCTCTGTCTGCCAATTCTTAAAATTAGCTGACAAGCAACACTTGCCAACCCAATTCTTATAATTGGCTGATCTTCCTCCACGTCACATCCTTTTCTGGATTTCTTGCAGATTAGATCAGCATTTTCAATGGCTTATACTACATTGACAAATCCTAAGGTCATCTTGTGCCTAGGCCCAAACAGGAGCATTCTCGGTACCATAATTAGACCTGATCCTACATTGGTGGAACGCAAAGGAGGGCCCGGGCTAGTAGCTTTTGATAGCTTACTTCCCGGAGCAGGGAAACCACTTCAGCTAGAGCATGATGGGCAGGAGTTTATGTGCAATTGGCAGTTAGATGATGATGATGATCCCCTGCCGCGGGGCGATGATTCTGCTGGAGGCGGTAGTGGGCGATCATCAGGAAAGAAGAGGAAGGCTTCTTTTAAAGAGAAGTCAGGTAAGAAGGGAAAAGAAAATGGTGAAGTGGGGAGGAGGGGTGTAGAAAATGGCTCAAAGAAAGAGAAGACTAGGCGTGATGAAAATAGCTCAAGGAAAGAGAAGGGAAAAATGAAGAAGATTAGGAGACGGAGACATTCCCAGGATAATGCCAATTGATTTGGTCGTCATGGCAGTGGATCTCCATGGACTCTGTAGAACCCTTCACATGCCTGTAACTTGCCATGCTCTTGGAAGTGTCCGACTTTCTTTTCCGCTGTTAGTGGGTTCAGATTAGCATTGTATTTCATGGACCAAGATGCTGCTGCCATTAACTGAAAATGGAAGTGCAGTGCTAAGTGGAGCCTCTGTTACAGCCTCTTTGTCATCTGTGATAATACTGACTGCTCGTTTACCGCATTTACATGCAATACAAGGCTTGTGTTGAGCTTATGATAAAGTCTTAATGCCATATAAGCAGAACTTTGGAACATGTTCTGCAAGATGAGGCTATTTTCCCAGTTTTGACATGGGCAGTGATCTGGGTGTTAACATGCAACCCTGTCAGTGTCCTTTTCTTTCCGATCGTAAGCCTAACATGAACTTAACATGTGTTTGTTAATTTATTTACATTTTTACACAATAGAAAGATAAAGTTATTACACATATTGTCTTCTCATGTTGAATGTATAACAGGATCTCATTTTGGGCTTCAATTCCACTTGGAACGAACTGTTTTATGAATTTATCAACTTTCAAATTATTATAATAAATTTTGGTATTAAAAAAAGGACTTGCTCACACATGGAAATGGGAATGCATGTTCTATTCCTACAACTTCCCCTTGATCCTACGACTTCAAATCCTAGGACTCTTTGATTCGATATCTCGAACCTTGGACTTAGGACTCTTTGATTCGATATCTCGAACCTTGGACATGGGATCTCGATCTCAAACCGAAACCGGGACTATGAAAGTTGGGACTATGAAACTTTTGTCTTTATGTCTTAAAATTGTTTCATTTGGAAAAATCAATTCACTGTCCCCCAGGTCAAAGAAGAATTCCAACGAGACAACAAAAAAAAACGGTTGAAAACTATAAATACCAGAAAAGTCCACGAACCCACAGTAACAACAGAACCAATCTACCAACGAAAAACCGCACCAAAGATAACGACGGTGAGATCAACATGAACCCCATGTCGGTTTGCTCCTCCTCCTCCTCCTCGTCTGGGTCTTGGAGCAGCACCAAGGCATGGATCGTCCACGGAATCGTCGCCGGAGTTGCAATTGCAGTGGCAATTGGCGCCCGGGTCTACTTGGGTCCGCCAAAGAAGTTTCGGAGCCGGGTAGTCGGCATCATCCCCGCCCGTTTCGCTTCTTCACGTTTCCAGGGCAAGCCTCTCGTTCAGATCCTCGGAAAGCCCATGATCCAGGTCCTTCTTTTTGCTTCACTAATTCTCCCATTGTGTACTTGCATTTTGATACCGTATGTGAAATGGGTATTTTCTAAGCTTGAAGTTTGTTATCAATTTTCCTAAGCTGCATGGATCTGAAGCAGGGTGTTTTTTTCTTTTATTGGGATTTTATTTTACACCCCTTTTTTTGTCTGTTCCTTTTCAAGTATGAAGCTTGGTCTGAGATTAGAGCCTATGGTAATGTAATTGGGAAACATTTCACTTACAAATTTTAGTTGGTTTTTGCAGAGAACATGGGAAAGGGCAAAACTGGCAACTACACTGGATCATGTTGGTATGTCTACTCACTTGAACTCCATGTAATTTTGCTTCATGTTTATACTAGGATTTTGTTAATGTTCTGTCAGGGAAGGAACCCTTCTTAAATAAATCGTTGAATGTCCCCTTAATAAAGAGGCAGCTGATTAGATCTGACAAGTTTTGCTAGGCATCCAAAAATCTGTCTCTTCATCTGAATTTATATGTAGGTATACTTAAGCCACCTATCTTAACTTCTGCCAGCTGATTCTGTCTGGCATTTTCCCACTTCCAATTTCCATTGCAAAAACATCCTTGACTTTGGTTGAAAGAGGAAGACCAGAGTCACAAACCATTCTATGACCATACTTATGACCCTGTGGATCCCAGTTGCCCAATAAGCTAATTGTTTGAGCCATCCCCTTATCTTCATTTCATAAAAGATCTGGCCAATTTTCTCAGCTTTAAGTGCTTGCTCCGGCTTCAATAATGAGGCATTTTAACCTCCAAGAAACAGTCACCTTTGAGGAAATCTTCTTTAACCTTAGCAACCCCAAGAGACGGGTTGATTGAAAGTATACAAGATGTGATGTGATATAGGCATCCAATCTTTGAGATTCCCTTAATACCCCAGTGATATTCCTTTTTAGGCTTACCACTTGCATCCTGTTGATGATATTAAGTTTTGCTTATGCTTAACATAGCTATGCAATGGGGAAAGTGAATTCGACCAGCCAAGTATTTTTGAAGTGTTGGTTGAAGCGTTGTTTAAGGTCTACCTTCCTTTTTGTGTAGTTGTTGCGACAGACGATGAGAAGATTCGAGATTGTTGTCGCAGTTTTGGAGCTGATGTCATAATGACCTCAGAATCCTGCCGGAATGGTAGGCACCATGGTTCTCTTTTTTCCTTTTTATTTTATTTTGCAGATTAAATATATAATTGCATTTTTATTTACTTTTTTCTGAACTTAAAGGTACTGAGCGTTGTTCTGAAGCAATTCAAAAGCTTGAGAAGAAGTATGATATAGTTGTCAATATTCAGGGGGATGAGCCTCTTATTGAACCTGAGATAATAGATGGAATTGTTAAAGCTTTGCAGGTAAATTTGTTTCTCAATCTTTTGTCATGATAGTCCCCCTTGAAATGTGAGTGCTACGACAGGAATAATAAACACATGTGGCATTCAATTTATTTCGATTTTCAACAATTAGTCTCGTTTTTTGAAGTAGGTGAAGCAATCCCAGTTGCATATTTGTGTAGCATCAAAATCATGTTGAAATAGTTATTTATCTTTTCCATTTCTAATGGCATATCTCGTGTTTTAATTTGTTTCCATGCAATCAGGTCACAAATTTGTTATGTCTTACCAGGAAGCCCCAGATGCAGTGTTTAGCACTGCGGTCACATCATTAAAACTTGAAGACGCATTTGATCCGAATCGAGTGAAATGTGTGGTTGACAATTCTGGTTATGCCATCTATTTTTCAAGGGGGTTGATTCCATTTAACAAGTGAGCTTTTGTTTGCATAATGGATTTTCTTTTTTGTGAAATACTTTATGTGCGGTGAATGTAAACGTGTTATCAACTGCTTTGCAAGATCTGACAAATTGTCACATGTGATACAGGTCAGGCAAGGCCAATCCACAGTTTCCCTATATGCTTCATCTAGGAATTCAGGTATTAAATGGACATTTTGTTAAAAAATTGTGTGGCTGCGAGGTGTGTGATTGTAAATTATTTTAGGCCACCTAACTTGTGAGTTTATGGTTCTCCATCCCATGCCTTTTCAGAGCTATGATACAAGGTTCCTAAAGATATATCCTCAGCTTGAACCTACTCCTTTGCAACTAGAAGAGGATCTGGAGCAGCTTAAAGTCCTTGAAAATGGGTATAAGATGAAGGTATGTTAAGACTCTTAATTGACTGATCTGTTCTTATAATTATTTCCCGGTTCTTGCAAAGTTATTTTGACATTGCAATGCTTTCTTGTTCTTTTCTATTTATCTGTACCCATCTTTTCTTCTTATTGTTGTATGCTCACTAATTGTATTAAAGTCATACTTGACATTGGTGCGGTCATCAAAATTAATAAGAAATTTGGTGCAATAAATATCTTACCTGTCGGTTGTGATGATTTATAATCTAGTTCGTCAAAATGCTTTAAAATTTAGTTTCATGGAACTCTCAAACACGATTACCCTAAGCGCCCAAAAGGAAAAGAATTGAAATTCCACACATTTTGACCTGGGATAGTGGTTCTCCTCAAATATGACATGTCAAAAAGTAAATGTAACAGGATGAAGAATGCATTTTTTCTTTTTTTCCTGAAATACGGATGTCCAAAAGTTCACATTGTTCTGTGTTTGCAGGTGATCAAGGTTGACCATGAGGCTCATGGTGTTGACACCCCAGAAGATGTTGAGAAGATAGAATCTCTAATGCACGAGAGGAACTTGTCTTAGAAATTCCTAGTTTGTGGTATATCAGACCATTAAAAAGCAAGTAAATCATCCATAGACTCACAGAGTTACTAAGTTTTGTTATATGCGGGTTTGCTGGCATGCTGCTTCAAGAGAAAGGATATGGAGAGGTATAACATTAAGCTGTTACAAATTCCCCTGTATATTAGGAGTGATTTATTTCTCAGTCATTCCTTGTAGGGTTTTTTCCACCCATTATTTGCTGTCCATAGCCGAAAGTTTAGAGTTGTATGTTATTTATGAGTTGTATTCTAATTTTGTTTTCTGCCCCTGATTATCATGTGCATCAGTATGTATTCTATGTCTATGTGTCATTATAGAAGGATTAATTTTGTTCACATTTATGCTGAACTGTGCAGACTCTCTCTCTCTCTCTCTCTCTCTCTCATCAGTGACCCAAAACACATACTTCCAAGATGATAGTGGGGGATAAGGGTAGAAGACAATTGAGGACTAGTCAAAACACCCGAATAATTTGACCAAAATGATAACAAAAAACATTTGAATGTGTTTAATATTAATATATAAAAGCCAGAAGGAGATATCAATTTTGGGAAGATCAACATACAAGACAACCCTCTGGCTCTCAAAGGACCACTGGGATTTCTGAGCTTTCATGTTTGCGTGTACTTATGGAACATGCAGACTGATCATAAAATCGTCTCTCTTAGTCTTTGCCAAAAGTAAAAGACCCTCTGATTTGGCTTCTCATTGAAACCAAATCTCCCTTACCTACCACAAGTCATTTCACAACCTTTTTGTTTTTATTTGTTTTTTTTGTACAGAAACTTCTTTTTTTCTTTTTCTTTTTTTACAGCAAAGCTTGCAATAATTAACAACAAAATCCTAAGAAATAACCCAAAAATGAACCAAAGTAAATCTCAAGAAACCCAAAATTCCTAAAAATTAAACCACATTTCTTTACTATTAATCTACCTGTATATACAGCTCAAAGATCATCTGATGATGATGCTGTTTGTTTTGAAAGAAAAGAAAATAAAAGAAAAGAAAATCTAATCTTAAATTTTGAGAGTCCAACAACAACTATCAAGTGTCATGTATGGTAGGCGCAGGGTTTCTCTTGCTCATTTCTGTGATGACAAAATGGTCAAAGAAAGCTTCAACTTCAATTAAGGCTTTGCTGCTTGTGCTGGTTGTGGTTTTTCCTTGACCAACTGCACCTCTGTTTTGAAGAGAAGCACCGACAGCGAGTCGTCAACAGAGAAATACACAAACCCACCAGGTGAGTGAGTCACG